AACTGATAAAAGAGAAATCTGTAATTAAAACCAGTGAAAGAGAAAATGTATGCATAGCAAATAAGGCACTTCACAGCTGCTTTGGTTCAAATGTCAGCAGCAGTTATTAACATTGTCAAGCAACTCTCCAACTATATTCTGTTTTATGGAGAGTCGTTCTTTTTTAAGAGTAGTTTCTGACTTTACCCATTAGAATTACACAGAGCAAACCAGGGGCTTCCATGTCCATTAATAATCAGAGTCACGAAATAATCTGCATAATTAATGACTTTTGTAAGTATTTGATTAATACATGGACATAAATAGGATGTAGTATTTCTTCTGTCTGCAGAATCCACTGAAACGCTGATACTCTGTTCATTACAGACCTCTGTGCTGGAGGTCCTGCTTAGTCAAGTCGAGGAAACAGGGTCCTGTGTTTGTTAGCTTTGACACTGAACAATAATCATGGTTCACATACTATAGTATGGTAATGTAGCTCAGCTCCACTTCAAAGGGTCTAATACCTACAGTACAATTGTGAATATTAAGTTGGAATTTTAAGTTTGAATAACATAAAAAGAACATGTTTGTTGAATTTCGCCATTGTGATTATTATCACATTTTTGTTGTGCCAAGACATTTTGTTGTGTTATCAAATGGCATTTCAGTCCATTATTTGATTTTAAAGTGAGAGTTTTCTTAGAACTTATCTTGTTCCCTTTTTATCTTATTTCTATTTTCTCTTGAGGCTGAATTGTCATCCTTCACTTCAGATTTTTTCTCCGTATTAATCACATTAGAGCACCATACAATGTTTTCACCTAACAAAAGCAAAATGTAAGGGGAAAAAAACCCAATTAATTAATTACGTTCCCGCTGCAGGTGATCGCGTGTCATTTGATTGGCCGAAAGGCCTCATGTGACCAAAGGCGCGGCCACATCGGGTAAAGTAGAAGTCTTCAATATTTTGAGTAGATTCGCTCTTAAATTGGCGGGGTTTTTTTGTCGAAGCCCAGGAGTCACCAGCTGAACATTGTAAGTTAAGTAAAAACTAAAAAGAAACAAACATAATACCGGTCTGTTTTACTTAAAACCAGGCGAACTGGGGTTTTTTAAAAACGTACGTTTAAAACCGTGTCCTTACGTCACCTCGAAGCAGTTTCCTCTGTACTGTAACTTGAGATAACTGACCGTAATGACTGTAATAAAGTGGCCGAGCCTAGGGGAAATCTCTGTCCTCACTTTTACAGATACACACAAACACACCCTCTGGCTGTGTAAGTGTGTGAGTGCGCGTGAGGTGCCACATCGTAACAGGAACAGAGTGAGTGTTGGAAGACGAGCATCGTCATCATCATGTTGCTGCCTCTGCTGCTGTTGCTGCAGTTGTTGGTCTTTGTTTCTTGCGCTCCTCCACGGTGTGACCCGACAGTTAGAGGTAAACTTTTTTATTCCCTTATTAATATAATTAAAATTATAATAATAATAATGATTATTATTATAATTATGTGTTGTTTTTGTTGTAGTTGTTATCACTGTTGTCGACATTGATATCAAACATGCGCGTGAACTTGTTGCATCAACTTCCATGCATCATGTTTCCATGTCGAGTCTCAGGACTCATGTGAACTGGGCGTCCTGCATTTAGGATCATGTTTTTGCGGGTTACTTAACTTTAAACCACATTTTAGTGTCAGTAAATATGACTTGTGGATGTTCCATAGCATTTCAAGTGTACAGCATGTGATTAGAGATTGATTTTACACACATTCTCCACATAATACACTGTACAGAGAATACAAAAGTTCTGTTGCATTTTGTAAATTAACACCCAGAGTTTGTTGAGTGTTTTATGAGGCATTATTACAGACTATTCTGCCACCTAGTGTCTGCCAGCAACAGCTAACAACTGCTGTTGTGTCTTGCAGGACTATGCAAGCCAATATTGGAAGATAAACGTAAGTAACCTCGTGATGACACATGAAATTGTGTAATGTTTTCCTCCCAGCTTGACTTGTGTTATTCAAACTGAACTTTTTATGATGAAAAATGATTATTGTTTTGGCTTTTTCCACCAAAACACCCTGAGTTTGTGTGTGTAACCCAAGACAACCATCAGCCCCTGGAGTCGTCCCACCCTGTTGGGTCCAGTGCCCAAATGGTCAAAAGGACGCACAGATTTGGCCAGAGTCAGTGTTTTTAAGAACATTAAACACATGAGCTCATAGCAGGGTGTAGTCTCAATGTTAATGGACTCAGGGCAGAGAGCGGCAAAACCATCCTGTGTATTTTTAGATGATCAATGATGTTATGAATCATTTAAATCTTAATTTCCACGGATATTAGAAAAGTTTGAGACAGACGAGGATTAAAGACAGTCAGGTGAAGTTCAGGAGTTTGTTTCGAGATGAATGAAGGTACATTTCATGTGCAGGTCGTGTCTCAAAGTGTCTCAGGGTTGAGTTGTGTTAAAAGTTCAGTGTGTACAGTTATGAAGAGATGTTGCCATAACACAGAGTGACACCAGCCACAGGGCCACTACTATCCTATATTTTTCTGTGCAGTTTGTAAGCCAAATAAAATGGTTTGTGTGGCTTGACCAATTTTGCTTCTGTCGTTGGGCATCACAAAAGGAAGATCAAACTTAATCTTCTAACTGTTATATATTTTATACATAACAAAATGCACTTACGTTAAAATACATGTACAAAATTAAAATAATGAAATGACATGTCAGAGTAGCAGAAGAGACATAATTCAAATTTAGTTTTAACATTAACTGCTCCACAGATTACTAAGCTGTCAGTGCGATAGCACCCAGAGGGGACAGTGGTACTGTTGGTTCAGCTGTGTCTTTAATGAGGTACATTTGTCATTTGCAAATGTTAAATGCATTCCTGTATTCTTTTTATAAAATCTAACTAAATCCAAAGCACCTAATGGACATAGATTTAAGATTGGACAAGTTTACTTTACTCCAGGGAATTAAAGTCCATCTAATGGAGTGGAGTGGGTTCTACTGATTATGAGCTGTCTCTGCCAACATTTCTTCCTGCGTATCATATTTTTTAGACAAATGTGTCAAACATGTTTCAGATCTGTCTCTCTCTCTTGTTTTGTTTTTGTTGACTTCAGCCAAATGTGAAGATATCATGTTCTCCTACTGCACCGACATGACCTACACACAGACCATGTTCCCAAACATCCTGGGCCACAGGGCCCGTGAGGAGGCAGAGGCAAGCGCCGAGTATATGCTGATGAGCGTGGCGGAGACACTTCTGGGTGGAGAGTGCAACCCTGACATCCGCATGCTGGGCTGCTCAGTTTTGTCGCCACGCTGTGAAAAGGCCAAACTGCTGAAGCCCTGCCGCAGCACCTGCGAGGAGGTGCATAAAAAGTGCAGCCATGTTTTTGATGGGATCGATATGGCCTGGCCCTACTTCCTGGACTGTGACCGCTTTTTTTTCAGTGAAGAAGAAGGATGTTATGACCCACTGGTTGGACTCAAAGGTGAGGAAATAAGATGATTATTATTACACAAAAGTAATTTTTTTAAGACAGATTCCCATTTGTAAAACAATGGCTATGCCTAACACCCTATGTTTGTAGTATCAGTTTGTTTACACCAGTAAATATTTAGGAAAGTATGACAAAAATAGGTTAGGTTAGTTAAACAAATGGACCATTAATAGCTCTGTAGTAAAACAGCTTTTTTATTTATTTTTTATCAAAAATGGCAAAAACAAACAACGTTTGCTAGCAAGGTAGAAGTAGACTATAGCAATATTGGATCAAAGCTATGCAAAAACATATGGAAATAACATATGGACACTGCAATTGTTAAAAAAATAACATTTTTGGTAAAGTTTCCACTGCAAATTACTCTAAATGGTATTGACATGTATTCCACAAAAGAATAGACCAACTAAAACCACGTGCCATGTGCAACAATTGGTCCGTTGACCTTATTTTGGACACACCTGACTTGTACAGATATGCAAATGAATACACACGTGAGTATACTTTTATACTTTCTAAATGTCACACGCTGCACCATCACAGTGAGCAGTAACAGCTCACAGTTGGAGCAAATACTTTGAAATTACCAAGCTTTTGTTCTGTGTTTTCATATGACAAAGAACTTAAGTGCCGTTTTTCTGCATTTTTCTCCTCAACACATTGTGTGCACACATCTGGTTCGTGGACATGCTAATGTGGCTCACCTCAAAAGTAAACTCCAACTGGAATAACTCATTTCCCTTTGTAAAACCCTCGCCCACACATGGCCCTGTGGCTGTTTTCAAGTGTTTTTATTTGGAACCCTCTGCTGTAAACAGCCGTAATGCAGTGTGCACAAGAAAACAGAGTCTGAGAAAAGACTGTTGAAAGGCTAAAGTAAGTGCAGGATTATATAACAGCAGACAAGGGGGGTGGGAGGGTAGTATCTAAAAATACTTCATGTGTGAGCCATATGAGTGTGTAGACGGCACAGAGAGAGAGGAGCTGATCTACACATGTGTCTGTGTCACCTGAGAAGAAAAACCTCCCATCCATCATACAACTCAAGAAACCAGCAGTGAAACAGACCATTCTTCCCTGGCATGTAGCACAGAGACAAAGGCTGTCATGTTTTATCGTCCCGCTAATTCTTGTTTGTCCAGTCCTCAGATGTTTGGCAGCGACTCAGAGCTTACTAATTATTTCCACTTTTTTTCTTTCAAATCCATGTTCATTCCTGTTTATTTTTTAATGTTTGACCCCAGACAGTAACATTTCAAACAACTGTGCTCACATTTGTAATGGCATGGGGAACATCTGGTTTCCAAAGGCATTTTGTAAGATTTCCAAACTCCATCTTATTGGCTAACATTTAGCTACTTTCAAACTTGTATTCTAGTTATCTTTTTCCTGTTTTTGTCTTACTTTAACACTCTTTTGACTCATTTCCAGCTTTTCTTTTTTGTTAGTGATATTATTATTATGAATTATAATTCATATTTCAGTTAAGTTAAGTTTTTTTTTTCCCCCACTATTCTAAACTGTTTCTAAACAAATATCTGCCTCGTATTTTTACTTCCAAAAAACGAAGCATTTACTGAATAAAATGTTTTAGCTATAAGAATATGAAGGGTGGGCTTATGGCTAATGTTTTCCTTTGTTTTCAACGAACCTTTAAACCGTGCTTTGGCCAGACTTCTGGCATATCAGCAAAACCATTAACATTTTTAAACAATTATTGCTCGATTTATATCTCCTAACTATTTCTTATTTTTCTGCCATTAATCACATCAGAAATCCAGATTTCCATGTGCTCTGGTGAGTGTGATATGAAAGAGTTAAAAATGAAAAGTACTTTATGAAAGTACTCTGTCAGACTTTTCTTCCTTCCTTTTAGCCTTTTTTTTTTTTTTTTACAACCCACGGCCACACTGTTGTGGCTTAGTTTCCAGCTCTCATGTCTGGAGCAGAGGAGACTGGTGAGGTGTTTATACGATTAAATACCAGAGAAAATCTTCAATAAAAATCTGTGAGTGTGAGTTTCAGCCTGCAGTGGTCATGTTAAAAACACTACACTGGTTGTTTGACGTTTGACCGCTGATTGTTAGCACACTCAACAGGAGGAATTAATACGTAAATGTCAGATTTAGAGCATGTGGTTTTAATAGTGTAAAACTAATAGGCTGCCAACTGCATGTGCTGTCATACTTAAGATTATAACTGAAGGCGTGCAACTCCAGTGAATTTCAACAAATTTCTTGTTTAAATGGCAGTTACTGCAATAGGTACAAAGCGATCAGACAGACAGAATAGATTGTAAACAATTCTCTACAGGAGTAAAGGTCAAAACCCACAATCAAATCTTTAAATTTGTGAAGGAACAGTAAAAAAAAAATCAAATTTGTTATTTACATTGTCCTCTTCCACCACAACAATGCCCTAAAAACTTATATTGAAACAGTGCAAGAGCTTTTTAGCTTCTTGGCTTTTTTTGTTGTTGGTTTTTTAATATTTAGAAAATAGTTGCTTTTTCCACTTTTAATAAACGTGGCTCCAGAATCAATATAAAAACGTGGCAAAAATAAATTTTGACAAAGTCTGAATCGCACTCTAAAGCTGTTTTCATAAGACAGATCTTTAATTGTCTCCATTTGGATTCGGCGCTGTTATTATTAGTATTAGCATAATGATTATTTTGGTCTCTAATGGTGAGAGAAAATGTGTGAATATTAAAAAAGGGGCAGGAGTGTAGACATCAGCAGGTTTAACACTCACTTTTATGCGGTGTTACATCAACTTTCCACACATTCCATTTGGTTTGTGCAGTGCATACCAGTCTACGGACCTCCTATTTATACCCTGGCACTGCTGCAAAATGAAAACGTTTGTGAAAGATATCAAGTGTGACCAGTAACTACAGTTATTTCAAGTACAAGGAAAGGGGATTATTGAGCAGTGTTAGTAGGACAATCGAATATAGACTAAGTTCAAAACAATGGGCGGTCGACTTTCCTTTTTTCCAAGTGTGCTCAAAATCGAATTACTAGTCATATGCAACATGAACTGGGTAGAAAATAAACCCCCACTGAGGTTGGTTGTTTTAGTCATCATAGTAGAGCAGAGATTAGAAAAAGACATCAGAGCTGAAGACATGGAGGATTGTGTAATAAAAGTCTGACCTTTTTTTTTTTAGCAGTAATTAAATCAAACATGGACTTACCCGTAGTATGTTGCATTACATTTACATTACATGCGTTACATATTGGAAGGGTAAAAAGCTACTACTATTTGTATAAAGACAACATGAGCCCAGTGGAATCATGGTCCTTTAGTCTCACCCTTCAGGTCGAAGTGCCAAAGCCAGGCTGCATTTGCAAAACAAAATAGGCTGGGCCAAATATTGTGCTTACCTGTTTTTTTTCCCGTTCAAACACTAATACATTATATTCTTTCATTCTAGCTGATAGAACTGTTGAGAATGAAGACGACATGGAAATGGAGATTGTTCCTCCAGAGGAGCCTCAGACCTCAATAAAGTTCACCTATCACACCCACGTCCAGATGACTAGTATTCTAAAGAAAACTGAGGAACAGTGCTCCAGCATAGCCACCACTTACAGCATCGGCCGCAGCACGGAGGGCCGAGAGCTGCTGGTCATTGAGTTCTCAAACAACCCTGGCCAGCACGAGCTGCGTAAGTTAAACTCATCAGTGTCTGTGTGAACAGTCTGCCTCCTGGTTCATCGTCATGGAGTTAAAAAAAAGTGCTACTCTATATGTCTGTCTCTTTAGTGGAACCAGAGATAAAGTATGTTGGCAACATGCATGGAAATGAAGTCCTAGGTCGTCAGCTGCTCATCTACTTGGCTCAGTACCTCTGCTCTGAGTATCTGCTTGGTAATGAACGCATCCAGACTCTCATCAACACCACCCGCATCCACATTCTGCCATCCATGAACCCTGACGGATATGAGTTGGCTGTTACTGGAGTCCAGGACAGTGGCTATGATGACGGTGACGACCAGCAGGTACATATCCTCATTTAAACCAGAATCACATTAACACATCAAAATGTTAAAGGTAGGATATTAGCAAACTTTATTTTGCAAAATGTAAAATTCATGTAGCTCTAACTGTTCCCCAGCAGAGGGTGCCAACTGAAAATCTGATTTTATGCTCCTGGTGCTCTCTTCCTTTTCTGGTTTTATAGCAGCTGAAAAACTTAAGTTCAATTCACTCACGCAAGCTCTAACAAGAGTTAACAGAGAACATAGAGGCAGACAGCAGCAGCACTGTGGATGAATATTACACTGGCTTTGTGTAATTAACCAGCAGATGTCCAGACTACAACTGAAGCAGTTTTAAGCTTAATTTTTTTTTTAAATGATTTTTTTCTTTTCTTTTATCTGTCTGTTTTCTCTTAAGGGTCGTCAATATGATTCATGGAACATCGGCCGGAACAACGCTCAAAACATAGACCTGAACAGAAACTTCCCTGATTTAACCTCCATTGTTTACGGTCGCCGCAGACAAAGAGTCTTACGCACTGATCATGTCCCAATCCCAGACTATTACTGGTTTGGTAAGGTACAGTGTGAATCCTTTATTAGCATTGTAGGTAATGTTATCAGAGACCTCATATGTAGTCAGAATAAATTGACAACTCTTTTAATGTTTTGCCTTGAACTTAAACATTATTACTGTGGTCCAGGTTGCACCAGAGACCTACGCCGTCATGAAATGGATCCGCTCAATTCCCTTCATGCTCTCTGCAAACTTCCACGGTGGGGATCTGGTGGTGTCGTATCCCTACGATCTGTCTAAACACCCACAACAGTACAACATGCTCTCACAGACTCCTGATGATCAGGTGAAAATGTTCTTTCAGGTCAAATGCAATAATTGATGTTGAACCCTAACCAAGTACAGTTAAACTCATTCTACTATTATATAAAAGTATCTATTAAACTGTAATGCATTACTTCAAACATACTGTAGATGTACAGTCGTTATTTGAATAGATCAGCCTTTTGTTTACATGTATTCTCTGAAAGAGACTTTCAGTGACTTGAAATCTTAGTCATACAAAAGAGGACAAAAATGAATAGCATTTGTAATTTTTGCAGGTGTTTAAGTTTCTGGCCAGCGCTTATGCCAATGCCCACGAAACCATGTCATTTGAAAACGCCAGGTGTGGAACGTCCCACTCTGTCAGTCAGAAAGGAATTGTCAACGGAGCACAGTGGTCCAGCTTTGCGGGAGGTTCGTAAGAAAATACAAATACAAATGCTGTGTGGAAGGTAGGAGGTAAAAATTTGACTCGGCATAATTGAAGCATAATCAAGCCACTAGAGGTCACTGTCTGATCATACTTGAGAGTCATGCCATCGTTGAGGAAACGGATGGAGTATGTGTATTCTGGCTGGATTAAACCGTTGGTTCTTTCTCTGTTCAGGTATGCAGGACTTCAACTATCTTCACACCAACTGTTTTGAAGTAACCGTGGGACTGGGCTGTGACAAGCACCCCCCTGAGGAGGATCTCTTTATGGCCTGGCATGAAAACCTGGAGGCTTTGCTCACATTTATGGAGCATGTAAGAACAAGACCTGATCCTCCTCCCCTAGGTTTTGCTGTGTTCATTTACATTTTAGCATTTAGAATATGTTTTTATTCAAAGGAGAACCACAGGGTGGCGTAATTGTGTGATTTTTGCTTGTTTCTTGCTCAGTCAATTCCCTGAAATACAAAAGCAGCAACGTTTATATTGATATTTAACAAGAAAAATATATAAACATCTTTGTGGTTGATTTTTTTTAATCTCCTGTTGTTCTCAGGCTCATCAAGGCATCAAAGGACTTGTTAAAGATGAGAATGGGAATGGAATAAAAGGTGCACGGATCTCAATCAAAGGAATACGCCATGATGTTACTACAGGTGAGGGTCCTCATCAGCTGTTGTTTGGTTTTCACTCTCATTTTACTCAAGATTTGAGTCCTTGAGATTTGAAATCCTGGAGAAAAAAAAAGAAAAATAAGCTGCATAATCACAAAGATCACCAAGTGTTTGTCTCAGGTAAGAATCCCTAAGTCCCTAAGGAGAAGTTTAAGTTGAGGCGTTGAGATTTTTTAAGTAAAATCATTAGTGTTCTGAGTAACAGTAAAGTCAAGGCCAGGGGGACTTACGCCAGATTTGAAATCAAAGGATATCCTGGTTAGTTGAAGACCAGCACTCAGGACTTTAGTCGGACAAGTAGGACTTTTAATCAGGGTCCAGGTCCCATGATAAAAGTCAACGTTCCGTTAGGTTTCCCCTCAGGGTCAGAGTCAATGATCACAGTACTAAAGTAAAGTAAAGTTTCATTCCCAGGATCTCAAGTTTAGGTCAAGTCTCTTTGCTTTTGAGTCCAAGTCACTAGCACAAAACCCAAGATAAGTTTAAATCTAGTCCTTGGAATTTTTAAATCACAAATATGGAAAATGTTTTAATAAGCTCCAAGTTATAGTATTTTAAATCCTCAGTGTTGGTCCAGGATGGGCCGTGGACAAAAGACGTGTGATGATCATGGAGTTTAAAAGCCAGGCTGCAACATTCTGGTCACCTTTGGACCAGAATCTTTTCTAAAGTTCTCTGCACATGTTCATGAAATGATAATTAAACAATACTGCAATCATTGAAAACTTTTGTGTTCTTTCTGCTCACCCTGCCTAGTTGAAAATGGAGAATACTGGCGCCTCCTCACCCATGGCACCCACATCATCTCCGCCTCAGCCCCGGGCTACACCAAAGTCATGAAGAAGGTCCGCATTCCTCCTCGCATGCAGACAGCGGGCCGGGTGGACTTTGTGCTGCAGAAAGCTGCAGCAGATGCTGAGGCGACAGAGGCCAACCCCACGCCCTCAACCGCGGCCGACTATGACCGCTTTGACCCTTATAACCAGTATGAGCGCTACACCATGATTGCTGATATGAGCCAGATCCGTGAGGAGAGAGCGGAAAAGCCCTGGTGGTGGAACTACTTTATCCTGCCAGGTAGACCTGCCCCCACCTGGCTGCTAAAACACTTTTAGAGCACTTAAAAAAGATGAAGTAGAATTGGTTTCAGTGAGGTAACCTTTCCCTCCAACTCTAGTAACAATGTTGACCAGTTGAAGCCAAACCTCAAACCTACATTTTTTTTCAAATATAGTCTAACCACAAACCAAAAATGATCAGATTTTACACAGAGAGCCAAATAAACCAGATTTTTTTAATTTGCTCAAATAAAAACACCCTAATATAAGGAAAGGTTATATTATTATTATTATTATTATTAAGTATCAGTAAGGCAAACTATGTATGGAGTAAGCTGCATTTTAAACTCTCAAGCTCAGTAGTGATCAATTCAGCTACACTGGTCTTACTCTTGGCTCTCACATTCTGACATCTGGATGTCGAGCAGCTCCAAGTGCATAAGCTTTTGCTGTGACGATGGATATACAAAGAAATCCATATACGCAGGCCATAAAATGCAAGACATCTCATATTTGTACTTTTCCACAATTTTATAGCATAAATAAATTTTTATATAGGTTATATCTCATCCAGTCAGATACACTTCGTTGCATTAATTCTTCCTTAATTACACAGTCAATTTTTGATGGTTTCTTGACTGAACAACTTTGAATCCCCCTGACTTCGTCTATTTAGGAGGTTCCTTCCATATTTGACCACTAGAAGGTGGACTATCAGCTTTATGTGGTTCCGGTTTCTTAAAAAAACATAATGGCTGTGTATTTTCATTTATTTATTGCAAATATGAAGCATGCCTATTTTTTATTTTGTAAGCATAACAGTGATAATAACAATAATAAACAAATCAGTAGAGAACTGAGCAGTGGAGGCTGCGTGGAACAATTGTAAATAACAGTAGTCCTGCAGGTCTGGTCAAGTCTGCATAAACATAAAGGAATCATGTGAAAGTCAGCCAAGCCTCAGATTAAGTTTAAGGAATAATTGAAGAAAATCATAGAAGAATGTCTGAACCACTTGACCCATTGCAAGTGAGTGGAATATTGTACCAGGCTTCTGAGAGGATTTAACAAACACATTATTTGGCACCAAACCTGGTCTGGCATGAGGGTCTTGGCTCCTCTTCAACCAAATTAAACTGATCCTGAGCTGGAAAATCTACTTGACCTCAAATGAAGTCAAATAAGACACTAAACTTAAATGCAGAGACTGGAAATCTGCAGCGTGTGTGGCCTTGTTTTGAGAAGGAAAAAAAAAGAAGTAAGGAGTTCTATTTGTTTCTTTTTTTGTTTTGTTTTGTACAGTTTTGCACATTTTGGGTGGTCTCTTTCAGAATGCACGCATTATTTAATAAAATGCACATTGTCCCTATTAATAATATTTATTCAAAGCTTTAAACTGTAAGGTTTATTTTATTTTTTATTTTTGCTGAATAATTTCACTGTTAAGGTTTTATCTTAACGCTGATGTGATCACAGAACCCTAAATAGCATAGTCATTATGTTATGTTAAGTTTTCCTAAATTCCTCAGAGTTTTCATCTAAATCAAAGCTGGAGCCACTGTTCCACAATTTTATATTTTTAGGGACTGTTGAATCCAGACATTAATGTCACAACCAGTCAGACCTTGTGTAGAAAACGCTTTTTTACAAATTGATTCCTGTCGTTGAGGCCTCAGAGACTAAGTGTTAAACAGACCTGTGCTATTTTTTCATATTAAAGAAAGAGTACCTTGTACCGTCACATGCTTTACAGTATTAAAAAGTCACCAACCACCGGGTGAGGCTGAGAAAACTAAAGAGAGCTGAGCCGCTGAGCTGCCAGGTTGTATCAGCTTCATGGTGCTGAGGAGGTAAGTGAAGGCTGCGCACAGTTCACTGAACCTGCTCTGTGTTATTGAAGGATCACTGTATAAATGCGAACACTTCTAGAAGCCCGCTGTACCGTGGAAAACACATGCCAGTAGGTGGCAGTATGGCGAGGATTTACATTTTTTTTAATCTTTGAAATAATTAATATAATGTAGGTAATATGTAATACATTGGTTTGTATGAATTAACATTTCTATATAGACAGCCTTATATGTCAATATTTTCTATTTTCCAGAAGTCGCAAATATTTTGGTACATTTTCTGCAGCTTTTTAGACCTTTTAGACCCTAGTCCCGACTTGAACGTTGAACTTGAACAATCAACAGACTTTGATTTTATTTCTAGCACTTTTATTGGTACGTTTTGTAAAATAATATTCAAAAGTATTAAATGTTAGTAAGATATCCTTTCACCTCGAACTGTGCGCTGAGGTACTGACAGTGAGACACTGACAACATACTTGTAGTCAGGTGTGTTACGACCATCAAAGTCACTTAAACTTACTGACTAAAACATGAACAGCCTAAGCTTAGTGAGAATACATTTATTTTGTGAATGGTTTCCAGTGTGTGTTTTTAAAGAAGCGACGTTTTGTGAATGGTTTCCAGTGTGTGTTTGTGTGTTTTTTAAAGAAGCGACTGCAGCTGTTGCGCAGTTTTCCGTCCGTTCACAATATTATGAGCTTTAATTAGTGTCACCTGTGTCGCATAGCTGTATTTGTGGGAAAACGTGTTGGTAGGAGGGAAAGACACACATTTAAAAACTCGGTTTAAGGGGAATATTTTAAATGTAATCTTAAATTTATTTACAAAGTCTAAAAGACCTTGGTTTACGTTCCGTTACTGTTTCACATATACACATATAACGCCGCCATATTGTAGTTATTTGCAGAAATTGACGTAAGATCCTTTAGGTTTCAGCGGAAACGGAAGTGGAACGAGGGTAAGTTGTTTGTCAAACCTTACCGGTCCAGTTAGCTCAGCCATGCCTCGAATTGTTTTTTTTAAGACTCAAATGTACATATCATTTTAAGTTTCGTAAATATATAAATTTGAATGTCTATTGAAGCTAAGTGCCTTTAGAGCTTCCTCTGCTGACAAAGTGGTATTGCAGTTAAGACCAGTCAATTTTTGTTTGGCCCAGATTCACAGAACAAGTTCGTCCCAGTGGCCTTATATATATATATATATATAATGTTTTGTTTATATATATATTTACATCTGAGCTTAATGTGCAAGTCCTTATTTATATTTTAAGCAAAACAATAAGGTGGAGCGTTGATCCCTTACTTAAAGTCAGTTTTCTCTTGGGATTGTTTCCTTCTGTGTATTCTGAGAGAGGACCAGTCTAGACTAGTCTAGTCTGTCACATTTAGGCCCAGAATAAAACATGAAGCACAATTTAAAATAAGCGTTCTTGCTCTTAATGCACATTATCTCTGCGTCCCAAGTATTAAACACTTAAAAATCAGTCATGTGGATGTAAAAGCCTGGAGGCTTTTCAGGCTGAGTACATGTCGGGCTACTTTAGCTGTCATACAGCAACATCTCAGAGGCTTCTTCTGTGCTTGGTATCAGACACCCAGCTGTGACCTGGTTAACGGAAACTGACAAATCTGATTCCAGACTGATCTTAAAATAACATCTCTGCCAGTTGTGAATCGGTCCGTGTTGCTAACCCACCACATTAGCATAACTGCACTTGTGGTTGACAGAGATGCAGGAGGTGATGCTTTATGGTGTTACAACTGTTGCACAGTGAGCAGTGAGGAGAGAAATAGGATCATGCTGACAGCAATAGAGGAGAAAAAAGGTTAGATGGTAAATATTGTGTAGCAGACTGAACAGTGGAGGATTGCCATCACATGAATAAATGAGATGGTGAGGAGGCTCTGAAAGCCAACGGGTTCTTCTAATGCCAAAGTGTTGGATGATTCATGTCAAGAATGATGTAGAAGGAACCTATTCTTTCCATTGAGTGATTACCCATGATCCTGCAGTGCTGCAACAATCAAGGTTTTAGAGCTCCGGAGAAATATGATCCAAGTGATGAGTCAATTCTCGATAAGAAAAAAAAACAAACACTTAATGTTACAGTGTGCAGATATTTTGGATTAGCAGTGATAGAACTTGTGGTCAGATGGCTGTAGGTTCAAGTCCCACCTTGGCTGGCTGGGGTGTCTTGTGCAAACAAATTGCTTGGTATCGTCTGAAATCAATCACTGCTCACTAGGAATAAGTTAATAGGTAAAATGTGTCTGTATATATACAATGCCAACAAATTGACTAACTAAAAACAGTGCTTATGGGGCTGCCCACCTTTACCTCTAGGGGGTGCTAATACCAGAATAAAATCATTTGGTCCATGTTATGGGTATGTGGACTTCTAATTTGTAAAAACATTTTTAGGCAATTCTGTGATTTCTGCCATGTTCAAACATGAGAGACTGAGTTAATATTACATCATCATTTTTTTCACTTTGTAGATATTTATACAGCTGTTTCAAAATAAAGTGCTGCGGTTGACGTAGTGCAGCCTCAACATGCATACAGCCTAGGTTTATTAGACACCACTAAGCAGCAGAGAAACAACAATCTGTAAAACAAATGCACTTTCTAAAGGCCAGTGTTTTCATCGCTCTTTGCTCAAATGTTAATGAGTCTCAGGCCTGGGCAGCTTGACTCTCGTATCTACATTTGTAACAGATCTGCCGTCGGGTGAACCGGGCTAAATTATGCGACGATAAACCTTTTGTGGCGTGAGTTAATTTCTCTTTGCTCTTTTGAAGATAGTAGAGATTCTGGCAGAGCTGTGCTCTGAGCTCCAGTGAATCAGCAGAGGCCGAGCTAAATGTGGCAGCAAGTGTCAGGCCAAATCATCACACGCTTCCCAGGATTCCTTTGGTGCTGTAATCCAGGCTGTGGCCGGCACTGACCCCGGGGTAAGCCTGGCCTCTTGTTTTCATGCTGTGTTTTTTTTTATTAAGTGAATGCACTTCTGAATAAAACACTGGCTAATTATCTCTAAATTTATGTCTTAATCTGATTAAACCCTCTTAACAACAGTTAAATACAATCTGGTCATCTGTAATCCTCAGGAAATTGATTTGCTCTCTGAAGACTTTGACAAACCCTTTAGTAAGAACCCCTCTGTGTCTTCCAGTGAATTTCACTGTGATGGTCATCTGTTGTATCTGTTAAAATAACAACAGATAAACCAGGCATCTGGTTAATCACCCGGGAAATCAATTCTGTAACGCAACTAATTCTTGCCACATGATGAAGCAGTCTGCAGCACGAATGAAGGAGGAAATTTTTCCTCAAAACATACTGAAGTAGTGAAGGGTTAGAATCAAGATAATGCAAAATAATAAAACGTTTTTTGTTCTAAAACTAATAGTTAAATTATTAATTTAATTTCATATTACAATTTTGACTATATATTTTAGTCTAAACAATAACAATAAATGATCTGTGTTTGAAAAACTAAAATATAGTGAACCCAAACAGTGTACTGATACACATCGCCAAAGAAAAAAATCTTTAAAAACCCAGGATAAATATTTGTAGTATAAGCAAGATGTGTGCATCGTTACATCCCCCCTCCCTCCCCCCACTCGCTCAAACCGTCAGCTAGTCATTAAAAATGTAAAATGTATGTTTTTGAAATGGAACATGATTTTGCTCTGGGCTACGAGGGCAGTGAAGTGTGAGGTCTTTGCATATGAAGAGAGAGAGCAGATTGTTTTCCCTCTTTATTTAGAGACTGTTATTTATTTCAGACATTTCCATCGTATTGTGAAAAACCTTCCTGCTCAATCGAATCTGCTGCAAGAAAAACACTGAGGGTTCCCCCGTCTGAGGGTTGGACCTAGTGATGTTTTGGTTTCTCATTTGTTTTTAACACGTTTGGCCTGTTAACTTGTTTTTGATCCCTCTGTTAAAGCCTGTAGAGGAAAACCATACCTGACATAACGGCGCAATAATCTGACTCATTATGGTACTATCACTCACTTGATGGTCATTAGAAAAATGAAATGTGTGTGCAAACAGCAGGAGTGTGTGAATGTGTGTGTTTAGATTTGAAAGCAGCCTTTATGAAACGTGATGTAGTCATTCCCTAATGTTTTGGCCCTTGGCCTTAAACTTAAATTAGCTGTATTAATGTTCCCGGATGTGTTCAGTGTAATGTGTTCCACATTGTGTTAAATGTACAGTATCTGCTTCCTGAAGTATTTCTTTGAATTGACTTCTGTTTTGTGTATCTGAGAACAAGATATGAACTGACAGGGTCAGAAATCAGTGGGTAAAATGTACGACCTTGACTTTTTCAAAGAACCTATATGTAGCATATAGTTTGCAATACTTAAAGTATACGCTGTGTAAATAGCTTAAAGTTAGCTACAGCTATCTTAGAGGTAAAATAAAGAAGACTTGAACGTTAGAGAACGATTTCAGCATAAGCTCAAGATGGCAAAAAAGAAACCCTGCTAATAGATGGTGAAAAAAAAGACGGTAAATATACCCTTGTCAACACTGTGTGTGTGTGTGTGTGTGGGGGGGGGGGGGTTAATCACAAAAGTAAAGGTTAAACACAAGCTGAACTCTTGAATTCCAACTTTGGCAAAAACAAAGATTTTAATTGACAATATTTTTTTCCTCTTTAAAACTAACATCAGTTAATAATTTGTCATAACCTTTCTGAAGTTTAAAAAGCCAGCATTAGGTAGTTAAAAATCCTACCTATAAGATGGCCTATCTGATCTGATTTTTAAACTAGCAAAACATTGTCAAAGGTTTGCTAAGTGCTAGCTGAGATTAAAAGTTTGGGAATAGCTTATGGCTAGTTTGCTAAAAGTTTGACTAAAAATGACTAAACTTTAACCTCAAAAGCCAAATTACGCAAAAAAAAAAAAAGAATTGCAAGAATTACATAAATGTAATAATTAAGATATTGTGATGCAACTGAGCCTGGGTAAGTGTACATTCAGAAAAAAGTTATCATTCAACTGAGCCTGGGTAAGTGTACATTCACAAAAAAATTATCATTAAACAAACAAACAAACAAAATAAATACTGAACATTTACTAGAACATAAATAGAAAATCATGTTTAAAAATGTGATTGATTTGATGTATTTGTTTCTAAAGTCAAGAACAGTAGTGAAACCTTGTCCTACAAATAACTCCCATCTGTCGTAAATAATAATAAATGCAATTTTTTTGGAACTTGATGTTTTTAGTTCCGCATCAGCACGATCCTCACATTTCCTTACAGCTTCCGAAGGAACTAAGAATTTAAAGGCGCAGATCATTTCCCCTTCTTGTCATCATTAATCATAATTACACAACAATTTCTTCACCTTGAATCAATTTGTGCCACTGAGATCAAACAGTGGCCCTAATGGTCGCCCAGATTTCTCCAAAGTTAATCTATGTCATGTGGTGTGTTGTGAGCTGCAGCCTCTCAGGCCTCCAGTCGACTCGCTCTGCGTTTTGTTTGTCACTGAAACTCTTCTGCCCCTATGGCTAAAATGTAAATATATTACCTGGTCCTCTCCTCGTGGTTGATTCTCTTGGTCAGTTATGACCAATTGACAATCGTCGGTGTAACTAAAAATTCTCATCAACTTCCCATCAATCATCAATCACTTTCCCATCAACCCAGAACTGTTTTTCTCCTGCTTTTATGAGTCAATAACTGGTATGAAATGTGTATCTGATGTTATTAAGATAAAAAGCTTCATCTTCAAAATGTTTGTTGTCCCACTAATCACTAATGACAGGTGAACAAGCTCTAATCATCATTAGTTCACTCACAACACAAACTGGGTCTTCAAAGGTTTCACCTACGGTGCAATTACACCAAATTACTGCCCCAGTGGAGTCGGGGGTGGGGCGGGGGTGTCTCTGTTTCCAGCCCACTCTTCCTGCAGACAGGATGTTTCTCAAATGAAAGGATGGAAAAAAATGTGTGAAAGAATTGCTGCACAATTTCAAAACTTTTAGAAAAGGAAATGGCAGAGTTCATCCGATTAGACAACGAGGAAGAGAATTTATTTTTAATTAACATTTTGATCAATTAGGAATAACTATAATGTTATTCAAATTTCTGCTTCTTAAATGTAAATATAAGTGTGTGCGTGTGTCTGGGGGGCTATTCACAGCACCACCTATAGGAGGTGCTGTGAATACAATTTAAATCTTCTGGTCCTTGATGCCATGTTGGTGGTTTTTTATAGAAAATAGAGTTAAGTGTAAACAGATATTGAACTTCAAACCATAATGTAGATTAATCCATGTACAAGTATATTAAGCATTAAATATATTTCAAATAATTTACATGAGTGCGATATGATAACAAAAATAATCTGTAAAAGCTATAGATAATATTTCTTTTCTGTTTTTGGCACAGTAGTTTCATCAAATCTTAGCACAATTTGAGCTAATATTTAAAGTTAATGAAATCTTTTGAAACCTGATGATGTAAACCCTGTATATTCTGAATGGCACCGGTAGATTACTAAGTCTGTGTTCTTTCTGCAAATTTTTTCAGGCAATGGTCCGGGCGCCAAAGTCGGCCATCACCGGATCGTTGAGACGATCTACGGTGGATTAGCGAGAACCTACAAGTGGCGTAAGCTGAACTTTCGTAACTTGCTAAGCTTCTCATTTATCGTAGAACTTTCCCAAACACAGTCGCACACAGTGGAGTTGAAGTTCAATTGTCGCCCTCCACGACCAATTCCATCACGTTGTCCCAAAGTGCTTTGAACCACATCATAAAGTCACAGTGCTTCAGAGGCATTAGCATTCATAGCCAGGAGGTGTAACACTATAGTGCTGGGAAGTACTGTTAGAAACCCAGTGCAGCAGATGAAAGAGCCTGAGTCTGCCTGGATGTGTTTGTAGTTAGCAGGAGGCGCTTGTTTCTTAGCCCCATCTACTGCAGTTTAAGCACCCTGTCACTTTAAACTAGAACGATGTGATATTTGGCCAGTGACTGCTGAGAATGCTAACGCCTTGGAAGTTGGATCCTGTGGCTCAAATTAAACCCAGAGAAGCTGGAGGACGAGCCAGGCAGCAGAAAATGAGAAACTTTGGTAACGGAATCTCTCAACAAGTTTGTGAGGGATCGCGAGAAGTCTGACGAGGTTTCTATCCTTAAGCTCATTAAGAGGTCCATAACCAACAGAATAAGACTGTTGATGTTTGGCTCTGGAATCTCCCACAGCTCCTCTGGACTAGTAGTGTTCTTTTATTTCATTTTCATCTTTGCAGATGTGGAATATGATGCTACTTGCTTAATTAATAGAAAAAAAATACAGAAATAATATTCCATAAATAATATTTTTTTAAAAGAGGGAAAGACTCCTTTTGGCCTTGACATTTGACCTTGCAAACCCAAACAAATTATGTGTAATGACTAATTATGGGTGGAACACACTGACAAAAAAACCTGTTGGTCCAACTTTT